GGAAGAAAGAAAGGACAAGTGAGGTAATAGTAGGAGAAATAAAGATCGGAGGGAGGGAATACATGATAGCATCGGTGTATATCCAACATGAGAAGAAGGAAAAATATGAATACCTAAGTGAAGAGATAGAGGAGAACAGAGAAAAAACAATAATTATAGGAGGAGACTTCAACGCAAGAACAGGAAACGAAGGAAGGGAATGGGAGACAGAAGAAAACCTAGAAGAAATTAAGGCCAAGGATAAAGTGTTAAACGCAGAGGGAGAAGAAATGATAAAATGGCTAGAAGAAATGGGCTTAGTGATAACGAATGGGAGAAAAGAAGGAGATGAAGAGGGAGAAATAACATATTTAGGAGCGAGAGGAATGTCAACGATAGACTATGTAGTAGGTAACGAGGAAGGTGATGAGGCGATAAAAAAGGTTCAAATAAAGGAGAGGGTAAAGTCGGACCACTTACCAATAGAGGTGGAATTGGGAGACAAAATAGCGGAAGAAAGAAAAGAAGAGGAAGAAAGAATGATAGACGACTGGAGTGAAGAAGGTATAAGGGAGTATCAGAGATGGATAGACGCAATAAAGGGAACAGATAAATGGAAAGATATAAAAAATAGAGTGAAGAACGCAGTTGTAAAAAAGAAGATAAGGAAAAAAAAGGATCAAAAAAAAGCTGGTGGAGAAAAGAATGTAAGGTAAAAAGGGATAGGGTGATGGCAGAGTTAAATAAGGTAAGAAAAGGGGAAGGAGACAGAGGCAAATACTTAGAATCAAAGAGAGAATGCAGAGAGGAAATAAGAAAAGCAAAAGAAGATGAAGGGAAAAGAGTGGTAGAAGAAATAAGAACAGATACGACGAGAAGAAAATTCTGGGATAAAGTGAATGGCAATAGGAAGAAAAGAATTGGATTAGATGAAAATATAGGAAAAGAAGAATGGATAAAGTACTTCAAGGAACAATTGGGAGAGAAAGAACAGGAAGAAAGTAAAGGGGAAGAAACCGAAGGCAGCGAAGGAGAGGAAGGTGAAGAAATGAAAGAAAGAGAAGTAAAAGAGGTAATAAAAAAAATGAAAAAGAAAAAGGCGACAGGAGAAGATGGTATAGCAAATGAAGCGTGGGTGGAAGGCACGGAAGGCTTGATAAAAGATATGACAAAATGCTTAAATGGAATATGGAACGGAGAAGGATATCCGGAAGAATGGAGGAAGGGAATAATAGTACCAATATATAAGAAAGGGAGGAAAGAAGAAGTAGGAAACTATAGAGGAATTACGCTGATGGATACGGGATATAAAATATATGCGGAAATACTGAGAAAAAAGCTGGAAAGAGAACTAGAAGCTAAAGAAACGCTAAGTGATACGCAGATGGGATTTAGGAAGAAAAGAGGAACAATGGACGCGATATTTATATTAAAAACAATAATAGGGAAGGAAATAAGGGAAAAAGAAGGAAAACTGTTCGTATTCTTTGCAGACATGAAGGTCGCTTTTGATAAAATAAAGAGGAAGAAGATATGGGAAACAATGAAATAGAAAGGGATAAAGAGAAAAATTAGGAAAAGAATAGAAGAAATATACAAGAAAACCGGATGTAAGGTAAAAGTTGGAGGAGAAATAATTGGGGAGTTTGAGACTTACAAAGGCGTAAGGCAAGGGTGTCCTTTGAGCACCACGCTATTTAATCTTGCCTTCGCCGACCTATAAGTGAAGATCAAGCAGGTGCAGGAAGGAGGGGTAGTGATAGGAAGGAAGAAAATATGGACATTAGGTTACGCAGATGATATAGTGATGATGGCAAAGAGTGAAAGTGGAATGAAAGCAATGCTGAAAAAATTAAAAAGATACCTGGAAGAAAGGGGGTTAGAGTTAAATGTAGGAAAATCAAAGATGATGAAATACAGGAGAGGAGGAGGAAGGGGGAAGGAAGAAGAATTTGAATAGGAAGATGAGAAGATAGAGATGGTGAAAGAGTACAACTACTTAGGATATGTGATGAGCAGAAATAACGGAAATAAAAAGCAGATAAAGAAGGTAGAAGGGAAAATAAATATGGGACTCGGAAAGTTATGGGGGCTAGGAGAAAAGCTATTTAGAGAAAACTAGGAGCTAAGGATGAACCTGTTCGATGCTCTGGCGAAAAGCGTGATTATGTATGGAGCAGAAATCTGGGGATGGAAGAGATATGAGGAAATAGAGAGACTACAACTAAAATACATAAAGTGGGTATTAGGATTAGATAGAAACACGCCAAGTTACCTAATACGATGGGAAACAGGAAGACAAGAAATGAAAGAATCAGCATTAGAAAGAGCAATGAAGTATGAAAACAAAATAAGAGAAGAAAGAGATTGCTCAATAAGAAAAGCAGCATGGAGAGAATTAAAGAAAAGGGAAAGAAATGAAAAAGATAAAAAGGGTAAGAAGGAGGAGAGAGAGGAAAGGCTGGAAAAAAGTAAAATATACAGAGAGAGAGAAGAGGGAGATGAAATGAGGGAAGAGTTTTGGGAAGAAATAAGAGATGAGCTGAAGAAAAAGGATGAAAAAGAACTAGAAGAAAAGCTAGAAAAATCAAGATACATAAACGAGTGGAAAGAGCTGAAAGAAGAAATGAAAAGGTATAGGTTAAAGGAAATTCAAGGAGAGGGAAGAATAAAAGGCCTACAAATAAGGGAAAGGTTTAGGTTAGGTAATGAAACGAGAGGAAGCAGGTATTGGGAAAAAGAAGAAAATAAGACATGCAGAATGTGTATGAAAGAGGAAGAAAATTGGAAGCACATGGTAGAAAAATGTGAAAAAAGCAGAAAGGAAGGGGAAGAATGGGAAAAAATAATAATAGGAAGCAAAGAAAAGATAGCGTGGATGATGAAGATAAAATGGAAAAGAAGAAGAAATGAAGAGAAGAAAGAAAAAGAAAAGCAAGAAGACGAAGCTACAAGACCCTAAGGAGAGACGGAAACAGAAGGCAGAGAAGCAGGACTCGCAGACACATCTACACACACATACATACACACACATACACACAAAACACAAACATACGCGCAAATATAAACATACACATGCACACACACACACACACAAGACACAAGTAACAGCAACTACACAAGCGAGAGGAAGCAGGTATTGGAGGATGGAACAAAATGGAAAAGAAGAAGAATCGAAGAAGAGAAAGAAAAAGGTAAAGGTAAAGAAGAAGGCAAATCATAAGATACTAAGGAAAAATAAGTGAGGTTGAGGAAAGGAAAGGCAGAGGGAGCAATAGGAAACAAGAAAAAGGTGTCAAAGCCTTAACAAGAGGAAAGATAAATATTTAAATATTGAATATTTAAAGGAGTTAAGGCATTTTGTTGCATCATCAAATGTGACGGTACTTTTTTAAAAATTATCTTTTAAATCTATTTTCCATTCAAGCTGTAATATAAACGTATTTTGGAATTTTCATAACCAAGTCTTGAACGTATCTTATAGTACATATAATTTAATGTATATCGGCTTTATGTTATATTACACACTTTTATTTAGTTATTAATACTAAACTTGAAGATTTTCAATTGTATTTAAATATTTAATTATCAATAATATTTAAGTTTTCAATAAATATTGTCGTGTCGATAAATATTATTTAATAAAATAATCAATTTTTTTGCAGGTGGTTCAACGAGCATCACTTTATGGTCTTACAAGTTATTTTTCATTAAAAATTATCATAATTTATTTTATTTTCTTTTATTTATTGCACGAGCTTCGATTTTACATATATATTAATATAGTTAAAAGTAGGTAAAAGGTTATTGTGCTTTAATAAAACAAACTGATAACAGTTTCTTAACAAATTATTATTTGATGTTCCTGCCTTTCCCATGTCTTCAGATTTAACTATTTGAATTTTATCTTTTATTATTTTGAATTGAACTCATGGCATTATTAGCTCCCAATTACCATAAGAATTGAACCATTAATGATAATTGAACCAATACAAGGAAAGAAAAACGAAATTGAAAAACTAATTATACTGAAAAACCAACCATTACGAAATTATACAATTTTACGAAACACTGAAACAACAAAGAAAAAAACCAAATTGAAAAACTAATTACACTGAAAAACCAACCATTACGAAATTATTAAAATATATTATAAATTATATCAAAAAAAACACAATTTTACAAAATACTGAAACAACAAAGAAAAATCTAATATCAAAAATCAAATAAATAGACATAAATCTTTACACAATTTATATTTATTTACACAATTTATATATTTATTTAAACAATTTGTTGGAATTTCAACTAAAACTTTAGAATTTTGACTTATAATGGGTAGAAGAAAAATTGTTCGTACCCCAGAGGAAGAGCAAGAGTTTCAAATTCAAAGACGCTTAAGAAATGCACAAAACCAGAGAATTCGCCGTCAAATTGCACGCGAGTCTCCATATGATCACGGTCAAAATAATCCAGCACAGTAAGATTATTTAGGGAAAATGGATGTTTTATGTACTCATTGCAATGCAAAACACTTCGAGGATGAAAAAGTTGCTAATAAAGGTCTATCTTTTAATGATTGCTGTTCTCATGGAGCAGTAGGTTTAAATGTAACGCGAGATTTTCACCAAGACCTTTCATCTTTATTTAATGAAACTCATCCAAAATCTAATGACTTTTTTGAGAACATTCGTTATTATAATAATTCGCTATCATTCGCGTCTTTCAACGCTAATTTAGTTAATTTTCAATCTCGCCGTCCTGGACCATATTGTTTCAAAATTCATGGACAAATTTATTATCAAATTAACACAGCTTTGTATCCTTGTGAAAATGAAACCCCAGCATATGGACAACTGTTTTTTGTTGATCAAAATGAAGCTCTTGATATGAGACTGGCTCGAAATCCACATTTTGATTTTGAAACAATTTCAATCTTGGACAATATAATACGAGAGAATAATGTTTTTGCACAATCTTACGCAATGCTGAAACAAGAAATAAATGATCAGTGATTGCGAATGAATGATGAAAATGAACCTGAATTACAGTTATTATTTTCTTTAAAGCCAGGAACTGACAGACGTAGATTCAATTTTCAGCGAACAAATGAGGTTGCTGCTATCTTTTCAACCACTGCCGATGGTGAAATTCCAGAATCTTACGTTACTATTAGGAACAAACATACAAAACTTTTGCAATGTGTTAGTACTATGGATCCAAACGTGGCACCATGGATATATCCACTATTCTATCCTTATGGATCACGCGGTTGGCACCGTAATTTAGAACGTATTAAGATACATGACAATGACATAACTCGACGAATAACACGATTAGCTTATACAAAATATAAAATTGCTATAAGGCCAGATGAATTTAATGCTATTATAATGGGTCGTCGATTATTTCAGCAATGGATAGTAGACTCTTATGTTAAAGTCGAAAAAGATAGAATTCAATGGTGCAAAGATCACCAAAAAGAAATAAAAGCAGACACGTATCAAGGATTACACGATTACTTACAAAATTCTACTAATGATATTGATGGACAAGTAGGAAAAACTATTATTTTACCATCAACTTTTTTAGGTTCGCCCCGTCATATGCAACAAAGTTACCAAGATGCAATGGCTTTAGTTGCTAGAACTGGTAAACCAGACATTTTTCTCACCATGACTTGTAATCCTAAATGGAAAGAGATTCAAGAAAATCTTTTACCAGGCCAACAGGCTTGTGATATTGTAGCTCGCGTATTTCATTTGAAAAAAAATCGACTACTTGACGTAGTTATAAAAAAAAAATTTTTTTGAGAAGTAGCATCTTATGTTTATGTTATAAAATTTCAGAAACGTGGTTTACCACACATGCATTTATTGATAACTTTAAGAAGCGGTTATAAAATAACCACACCTGCAATGGTTAATAAATTTATATCAGCTGAGCTTCCAAATAAAGATACTGATCCTATTTTATATGACATAGTTGTGAAAAATATGATACACGGGCCTTGCGGTGATTGGTGTATGGTAAATAATAAATGCTCAAAAGAATTTCCGAAAGAATTCCAAAATGAAAATATTATGGATAAAACTGGCTATCCTCATTATCAAAGGTCGAATAATGGTATTACTCATGAATTACTTAATGGTCATGTAGTTAATAATCGATGGATAGTACCGTATTGTCGGGAATTATTAGAAATGTTTGATTGTCACATAAATGTAGAAATCGTATCAAGTGTTCGAGTTGTAAAATATTTATATAAATATATTTATAAAGGACACGATGCAGCAACAGTAACTATTGGGAATGAAAATGTATCTACAAATATTATTAACCACGATGAAGTTAGCAGTTTCATAGAAACTCGATATGTCGGACCTGTTGAAGCATGTTATCGAATTTTTAGCAAGCCATTGCAAGATAAAAGTCATGCTATAGAACGACTACCAATTCATTTACCACATCAGCAATACGTAGTAATTTCAAGTAACGCAGAAAACATTGTAGACAATCTGCATCATGCGAGTAGTAAGTTACTTGATTATTTTAAATTAAATATTGAAAATAGCACTGCACGTCAGTATTTATATAGTGACATTCCGTCATTTTTTACTTATAAAAAAGAAAGAATTAATGGTACTATGGTAACGAAGTGGGCAATACGCAAAAAATATTATAATTGCATCGGACGAATGTTTTCTGTGAGTCCTACACAACCAGAGCTATTTCACTTATGATTATTATTATTGCATGTAAGAGAAGCTACAAGCTTTGATTCCTTAAAAACAGTAAATGGTGTAATTCAACCTTCCTTTACAGCAGCTTGCCTAGAATTAGGATTAATAGAAGACGACGAAGAATGGGCTAAAGCGATGGAGGAAGCAAGAATATGGATGATGCCACGTAGACTTCGACAATTGTTTGTTCGAATTTTAATACATTATCAACCTATACACCCTGAAGAATTATGGGATAAGTTCAAAGATGCATTGTCGGAAGATTTTTCGCGAACGCACGACGTTATTATAAGTCATCAAATGGCATATGCTGAAATTAATAATTTATTGAATTATGAAGGTAAGAGTTTGGCTGACTACCCTACTATGGATCAAACAGTAGTTAGTCATTTATTATTAGAAAACAATAATGAATCATTACAATCAAATTATAAAGAAATTGGAGAACGTCAATATCAGCTATTGAATGAACAACAAAAAGAAATTGTCGACGTTGTTTTGAACTTAGCAAATGAGACTAATAATCATGACAATAATTGTATATACATCGATGGTCCAGTAGGATCAGGAAAAACTTTCATTTACACATCTATTTATAATTTACTGTGCTCAAAAAAAATCAAAGTATCTTCAATGGCCTTCACTGGAATTGCAGCAATATTACTTCCACAAGGAAAAACAGTACATAAAACATTTGGTCTTCCTGTTCCTATGTACAGTGACTCATCGTCAAGTATAACAGCGCAATCTAAGGATGGCCTTCTACTAAAAGAAACAAAAGTTTTTATTTGGGACGAAGCACCTATGGCTTCAAGATATGCATGAGAAATAGTGAATAGAACGTTACAACAATTTATGAACAATAATTTACCATTTGGTGGTAAAGTTATGGCGATTTTAGGCAACTTTTACCAATTAAAATCAATGGAACCCGTACTGAAACCTTGAACCTTTCTATTAAATACTGTGAATTATGGAAACATTTCACTAAATACAATCATACCATTAGTATGAGAGTATTACCTAATGAAGTTGATTTCGCAAAATTTTTATTATTAGTTGGTGATGGAACTCTGAACGATCAATGTGACAATTTAAATTTATCCGAGCATTGTATCTTAAATCAAAATGATGATGTTGTCTGCAGAGTGTTTCAAAGGTTAATTATAGAAAAGAAATTTGATGTTATGAGTAAATGTGCTATATTATCAGCCCGAAATGTGGATGTTGATGAATTAAATAAATTAGTTACCGGTTTACTAGATAGAGCAACAGAACATATATATACTGCAATTAACAGTACCGATAATTGTGATAATGGTGATTTCCAAGAAATAATCTTACCGGAATATTTGAATAGGTTACATCCTTCCAGTTTACCTTCATATGAGCTACGATTGAGAAAAAATTGTATTGATATGCTGATTAGAAATATAAGTATACACGAAGGTTTATGCAATGGTACACGTCTACGAGTATTAGATTTTTTGAATCATCTATTGAAATGTCAAGTTTTAACAGGAGACAAATCAAATAGTATTGTATTTTTAAATCATATTTCATTAATTTGCGAAAATGAATACCCATTTACATTCAGAAGACGTCAATTTCCAATAAAATTAGCATTTACTATGACAATTAATAAAGCTCAAGGTCAAACATTTGATAAGATTGCTATTGATCTTCGAAGAGATGTTTTCAATCATGGACAATTGTATGTAGCAATATCTAGAGTACGTTCATGGGAAACACTCAAAATTTACCTAGGGAATCAGCAACGTGATAGTTTTACAATTAAAAACTATGTCTACAAGGAACTTTATACATAAAAGATTTTATCTACGTGTAATTACCATGCGTACATTTAAATGTGATGATTAATCTAAGGCGCGAGTAGCGCGCTAATAAGTTCTAGTACAATCAAATAATATGTGAGGTGGCGCTGTTTAATGTGCTAATTGATGTAAACAGATTGATGAGTTTAGCGGGTTGCAGTGATTCAGTGAAATAAGAAAATAGCTCATAGATAGGACCGTTACAACTAGTTATCAATGTATAAGGAACGTTCTTGTTCATTTAAATCTTCAAGTATTTCAAGTGTAACATCACCTGAAACTCCTAAAGCAGATTTTTTAATTGCATCAGTTTCATTTTTGCTCACATAAATTTTGCAAGTATAAATATATTCGTTTTTAGAATCACATGTTTCGTAAATTTTTATTCTAAAGTGAGCGAGTTTCCATTGAACTGTGTAAAACTAAGCTCGTAAATATTCTCAAAACGGTCTACTAAATAATCGACTAGTGGTCGTACTAAGTTTCATCAACCTCATCTGAGAAATGTAAAATGGACAATATAGTTTGAAATCTTTCCAATACCATGGTTTTTGAGAAAAATAGTGTTTCAATAGTAATGTCTTTTGACCAATACAAAATCAATCATGATTTTATTTCATCTAATCCAAACGTTTCCTGCAAGCCTGATAAAGGACCACATGTATTTTTGGGACGAAGTTATATACTTTCTTCTACAAATGTCAAACTTTTTTTTTTCAAATTATATCTTACATATAATAGAGTATCATTTAAATCACACTCTTGTTCGGAAATTTCATTGTCAAATTTTAAATAAATGAATATCTTATCATTACTTTCTTATACGAAAAAATCGGTATCAAACAAATCGTCCTCAAAATATACTGGTGATAGATATTGGACTCTTTTTTTCGTTCGTCTTCACATATTGAGTCATAATTTTCAGATTGATTGAATTTAGAAAAATTTACACAATGAACATATATATAATATTTAGGTGCAATTAATTTTGTCAATAAACTTTATTAGAATAACACCGTCATTATTTATAGAAATACAAGATACTTATTTTAGAAGAAAAATTTTTTTTATCAATCTCTATTCTCAATCTCTATTTTAAACCCCACTTAATATGTGTATGACGAAAAATATATGTCTTTCTGTAATAATAGACCGATAAAAGCTAAAATTAAAAAAAAGAAATTTAAATAATAATTTACCCCCTCTAACCCTTTTTTCAACTTTCTCTGTGGAGGAGGTTCGGGTCATAAAGAACGATGGAAATGGAATCAGCATATCCGAAAATCTCTAGAAACCATATTTCTACGCATCTAGATGTGTTAATTGAGGCTATAAGTTTAAGTACGAAGAGTTAAAAAATCTTTGCTTGTTAAGAAGTTAATAAAGCATTCTTTTAAAGTTAAATGTAACAAGTAGAGAGAAATAATATTGAATTCATTTATCTGACAATTTTTTATAAAAAAGAGATGGATCTGAAAGTGTTGCCAATTTATTTATAATATGATTGGTTGAATTATCATCACCTGGGTTACTCTCTGTAATGGCATGTAGATATATATATATATATAAGTGAATTGACAGTAAATCATTACACAGAAATTTTAAATAAACATAATAGCTGCTCAGATCATCAAACCTCAAATTCTTAAATCACATACTTTTATTATTTATTATTATGTAATCGAACTTTTTTATTTTTAAAAGATGTGTGCAGTGGATCTGTGTTACGTTTTTAACTTTTCGGGATAAATCTCTTAAACGTCCAGCAGTAATCAGCCATCATGTTAATATCCTATCCACCTTGATATCGACTATCCATTTATTTAATGTCCTGATTAAATCACTCTTCTTATTCTTCACTGTAATCATCGAATTTTTCTGCAAAATATTCTAAATGAGAATGAAAAAAAATATAGTTTGAAGTTCATTAAATATTTTAACTTTCCAAAGCTTACTACCGTGTCCGTTACTATTCGATCGTAATTTTCGCTTTTGTGATTCCCTAAAAATATTGAAACAATATCTTTAAAATTTATTGAAGGTTCTCTCTCTTTTTGATTTATTTTAGTGACAAAAACTTTATCCTGAAATTTTACGAATTTCAGGTCTTTTGAAAACTCCTTCTCGCAATTTGGCATCGCTTTTTCTAGAAAACTTTTCTTGCAAATATTGGAAGCATTCATCTTCTCTATTCAAAGCTTTGACCCATTGGTTTATGAGCCCTTATTTTATATGAAGAGAAGGAATCAGAGCCTTTGATGGCTCAACTAATGGTTTATTCTTTACGTTTTCAGATCCAGGTTCGAAAGTTTCCTTAACTGGCCAAATTTTTTTTTATAATGATTGGTTGAATCTTTACTATCCTATTCACATAAAAAGTAGGGGTATTTGGTATAACCAAATTGTTGACCTAATATGATTGTGATGATTTTCAAATCGCCACAAATTAGCCATTAGTGTTCTGGATATTTAATCTTCTCCTAAAGAATTGTCATATCAGAGTATTCTTCTTCCGTTATTACCGAATAAGCTACAAGAACAAAAGTATAAAGATTAGTACTCGTATTATGGAGTAACACAGCTTTTAAACTCCTCGTTGACGAATCAACAAATAATCACTCTTTAAATTTATATTCCTGTAGATTAGCTGTCCACTAGCACAATCTGCGGTCACTTAATAACGATTATTGTGGGTTCGCTTTCTCACATCCCAAACTCTACATCTTAAAAAATAACTCATCTGTATTCGCCATGATGGCATAAATGCCCTCACCCAGGAAGTCTGCCGGGAAACAAAAAAAGGAAAACAAAACTGTTCCCTGTCGTTACTACGTGAAGGTACCATCAGAATAAATACAGACATTGTATCCTATTTACTTTCAGTTAAGATTACAAAAAATTGGCAGCTTTAAGACAGAACGGCACTACTTGCACTGTAAAATCGATCAAAATTGGTGCAAGTGCATTATCGCAACTAATGGATCTCATACAGTGCTCTGGTCTTACAAAATTCAAGGTAAACCTGGCTTTGGGGTAGCTTTCGCACGTATTAATGCACTGAAATGACATAACTTGGAATGAACCTGTCACTGAAATAAAGTTTGAAGGCTATAATGTCACTCAAACGTCTCTATCACCATTTGACCTTGAAACGACCTTGAAAATGAGCCAATTTCAGTACACTGATCCCGGATTCACATTCAGTGACCCTGAAAACATAAGAACAGAGGGGGGGGGTCCTAGTCTTCCGGACTGACCACTTTTTTATGTGTAGCTGTGTACTGATTGACTGAATGAATAAAAAAATAAGAGAAAATCTTAATATACTGAAATTTCCTTTATTCTCAGGACATCCAAATTTATTGAATATTGATGCTATCAAGTTTAACATTGAATAAATATATTCAACAAAAAAGAGTACATAATTTATTAAAAACTTTCCCTGAAATTAAATTATAAATGTAAATATAAAATAAAAAACTCCTAGTATTTTTATCGACAAAATATATCTATTGATATGAAAATATCGTACAAAAAGTCTTGAAGCGTAAATAAATATGATTACGAAATCATGAAAATGCAGTACTTAGACGCAGCTGACCGCGCGATTTATTTAGAAAACGGAAAAGGAGAATCGTTCTTAGTGCACTTCACGTTACCTACAGCTAAGAATCTGCTACGTTATTAGATTGGAATAACAGTTAAATCTATAAGTATAATTTTAATTAAGTTTATATTTTCCAATCAATATTGACGGATTTTGAAAGCCTAAAATTGTTTTATGTATGTGGGGTATTTTATAATATTTTTTTATTTTCGCCTATGAATAATTGTGATTTAATTCAACCACATAAAACTGTATATTAATAGAAATAAAAGATGAGTGTGAAGTACGTTTGACGACACTAGTTATGGGTATGAAGTGATAGAATCCCACATTTAACGTTGCACTGTGCTCAATCGTCTTCATTAATTTTATTGATTTCGTATTCATATGATGAAGCTCGTAAAAACCTTTGTGTCTTTTACTACTCTCTTGTTTTACTATTATACGTTCAATTCATTATTACTTACATGTTCAAAGCTGTACGCTTTCAATGACAAGCTTATAGCTTACTTATGTTCGCGAGCAAACATTTAGTACATAGATGAAAGAAAAAGATTAAACCGCAAGCTCGTAGGCAAATCAAAGTGCAACATGTAATTGATATATTCCTCGATACTAGTTTTTAATTCTAAATTGTTATAAAACTTTGAAAATCTAAGCATTTAGAAACAGGTGATTAGTTATAAAGATATTGTGATGGAGTAAAAAATGGGAAAAAGTGTAAAGTGGGCTCTTCCCGACCGCTGGTTACTAGTAACGTAACCAACCAGTTTCCAATTTATTTTGTTGTTGGCCGCTACCTAACCCCTTTGTAGAGAAGGGTGATTAGTGTCGAGAATGAGCAGGTGACCTTCGTTGTCATTTGTATCATGGTGTGGATTGATACTCACAGTGCACTTACTTAGTGTGGATCGACTGCGCAGAACATCTGTGAACGACAAAGCAGTACGAAAATCCTAATATTTGCCTAGCTGTTGACTAGTGCAATCGGTAAAATACGCTATGTTCAAAAATAAACAGTCGCAACTAAGAGCTCTGAGAAGCATCGGTTGGGCGATCGATTCAAGATGGAGTACCAATATGTCCACTAACTCGGCTAGAAATAGTGTCAGCGCATCAACGCAATAGTGTATCCTTCACAACCCTGCCGCAATAACTATGAGAGAAGGTACAGAGTTGCAAGTTAATTAATCGCAGATGTATAAAGAAATCACTTTCTTTTCTCAAAACGGTCATTAGTAGTTTGCACTTATACTCGAGCTTGCAGACAGCTAAGAAAGGGTCAATTACTATATTGCTGGTAGTCGCTAAAGTCACGGTCCAACGGATATTGTCTATTCTCTATTAAACTTAATAGATTGCATAATTTATACGCTCCTTTACATCG